TTCATTGGTGGATTGGAACTCACAAAATTTTTATCCACCAATGAATTAATGTGCCAACTCATCGGTGTTTAGGATAAGATGAGTACCGGTGCTCATTAGATCATTTCTGTATATATATATATATTATCTGGTCAACATTTTTGTTTTTATGACTTTGTTTAACAAAACCTAAAATTATTACAATGTCGGCACGCAGTTGATATTCGTTGTTTAACATGATTGGTTGTGTTAAATTCAATTTGAGTTATTCAAGTGAAGTTCAAAAGTTAATTGATTGAATAAAATTATAAATATTTCTCTCTTTCTCTCTCTCTCTCTCTCTGTTTGTTTGATTTTAAATTCATCTAGGATCGAATTAAATTTCTTTCCATCATAAATATTTAAATATAGAATTTATCTATAAATATAGCCTCATTATTTAAAAACTAATTTTTCACCAATCACATTTTTTTCTTAAAATAATTTTACAGATAAATTCAAATTTTATTATACTTTTTAATCACGTATTCTTTAAAACAATTAAAAATATATATTTTATTATATGTGTAACAAAAATTGTTAATTTTTAATTTTTTTAGTGATAAGTAATTTTGATAAGTAATTATTGAGAAAAAGAGTAATAATGCTGCCTCAAATACAGCCAGCCAGCCTTCCTGCCTGCTCATTGCAGGGAGACAATAGTTGATGCATAAGCAGATGGACCTATAGAAATGATTATGTACCAACAATTGATTTGATCATGTTTGGCTTAGGTTAGAAAATTATCATTAAGTAAATTTAAAATAATTTACTTGTTGTTAATCAAAGTGAAAACAGCTAAATTTCTTATTTTGATTTAGCCCATGCCTCATTTTTTTAGAATAATTTTTTTAAATAGTAATTTTTGGAAATATGTTATTAAAAATATGAATTATTTTAAATATATGTGTGAAATTATTTTATTAGAAGAATGTGCTCGAACGGAACTTAATGTCAAAGTAAACAACTCTCTTATTTCTAAATAGAAGAAAAGTAAATCCAAACATGGACTTGAAGGCGATATATATCTGGTGGGTAGAATGACGCGTGGGGTGTGGTTTTGGTTTGGTTAAATCTTATCCAAATTTTAGGTTGGAAATTAGCTGTTTGTGTAATAATTGGAGTAAATTCCGAAAGGTACAACAATAATCTACAAAAGTCATAAAGTTTGTGTTTTTATTTTCTATAGTGGACCCCACGCATTTACCCCACCGGCATTGGATAAGATCTTTCTTCTCTTTTCTCCCTCTCATCTATAATTCAGAAGAACGAAAATAATTTGATTTTGAAACTAAAATTCAGATATTAATCTTAATCAAAATCAATAATAATTTTAATCGTACATTTTACGGGATTCATAATTTTTCAATAACGTTTTATTATTTTTTTTATCAAAATTTACGACAAATTTAATTTTAATCCCTTCCAAACAAAGGTTATCTAAAAATCATTTAAACTTTCTCGATTTATGATTGAAAAAACTACAAACAT